GGGGGGGGGAGAAATAAAACAAAAGTTAAAAAAGAAAGGAGTACGAAAAAAAAAACTACATGAGTAAAGAGAGAGAAATGAGACGGTGAAGGATTCAGGCGAGGTATATTCCGGCATTTATGCTGTACTCTCTTCTTGCTTCTCTCTCTCCCTATTCCTTTTCTTTGTTTTTCTTCTTTTGTGTCTCTTTTCTGTTCGCGACACGAGTGAAGACGATGTTTCAGGGACTTTTTCTTCGTTTGATTATATTTCCGCGTGGATTTTCCTATATGCTCATCCATTCTCATTTGTGTTTTGTGTTCTCCCGCACCAGCAACCGTCGCCCCGCCGATACCTGCGGTGGTTTTTCTTCTGCGTGCTTCATCTTTTTTTTTTCTTTGTGTGTTTGGTTGTTGTTCAGGCTGGGGCATGGGAGTGAGTATGAAGCGGACATGAGAGAAAGGAAGAGGAAAATGGAGACGGTGTGGGAGAACGCGTACTTTGTGCGTGTGCGCGTGTGTGGTACTGTTTGAGCATGGCATCCCCCGTGAGGGCGAGAGGAGGAGGCATGTGAAGCCACACGAGTAACAACAACAACAACAACAACAGTAAGAAAAGGACACAACAGATGGGTAAGGCGGTGTGGCTCCACTTTCTGTCTCTCATGTCTTTTTAGCGCTATGAAAGTGGTACTAATCCTTCAGCTGTTTCTCCTTGGTTTTTTTTGTTTGTTTGGGGGAGNGGGGGGGGGGGGGGGGGGGTTAGTTTAGCTTTCTTTTCGGTTTGGTGTCGCTCCTCGGATGCAGACAGTGGACCTCTGTGCGAAAAGGGAGACGAAACGTCAAGCAGGATCTCTGCTGATGGAGCGCAACAGTCATTGCCTTCTGTGGCCATGTGGAGGCACAGTGGAAGCAGCAGCTGCACTGCCTTGCTGTCGTTCCTCGAGCTGGAACGCAACGTAAGAGCATGCCTCGTCGCGCACCGCAATGATGTGGATGTCTGTAGCGCCCTTGGTAGCGGTGTTCTTCGCGCACCACCGGCGCCGGTGGTGCGCGACCATGAGATGTTGGAACTCAACGTGGACGGCCTCAGCTTCACTTTGGATAGCGTTGCGGGGACAGTGGAGATCAACCGGCGGGGGTGAGGATTCAGTGTGTCGGCGGTAGAAGACAAAAGCGGCTCTGTGTGATGGGGCTGCTGTCTTGGGCTCGCGTGACGGAACAACTGCTGCTGTTGGGGTGGTATTGCGTCGAGGCCGCGCACGGAGGATTGTGGCGGGCCATTCGGTACACAAGAGTTCGTCTCAGCGGAAGAGATGCACAGCCTCTCGAAGCAGCTGGGCCGCGCTGAGGTGGGGGCAATGACGCACTTAAGTGGGAAAATGACATATGATATATGAGTCGTTACACGATCCTTGATACCTGAATAGTGTTGTTGTTGTTGTGCGTTCAGTTATTTTTTTTTTGTATTTATCCTCCACGTGTTGTGCCACCTTGCAGGGTTTCCAGAATGTTTGTTTCTGTTTGCCGTGAGGTATTTTCGCATTCATCGTAGACTTACTGGAGCGGGTGTGGAGACGAACAAAATATGCGTGTTGTCCCTCTGAGCATTTCTTTTCTTTTTGAGATTGCTCTGTGCTCGCCTCTTTCCTTGTTTTGAATATTTATCTTGGTCTTGGTGGTGCTGGCTGCGGCGGATTGTGGCTCCTGGGCTCAGATGTGCATAACTCTACACAGTGGCTGAGGTGCAGTTCGATTCCAGAGGGCGGCGAACGACAACCAAACAACAACACGAAATGGCGCACAAGGGCGGGCATGTGGATCCATCTGCGGTGTACGTCATGGGCGTGGTGCACATGGTATTGCTTTGGCTAGCCGTCGCACTACTTTTGGTGTCTGTGGTGTGGTTTAAGGATTGCCTTTTACGCACTGTGTCGAGATTTTTTTACTACTACTGTGGATTTGCCGTTTGTGTAGTTATTCTCAACGTAACGTATGAGATTTTCTGCGACAGCCAAAGCGTGCTGCGTGTCTCCTTCGCTTGGGCAGCACACCTAGGTGCCATCTCTTGGCTTCTGTTGGTGATGCGTTGCATGTGGTACGCCTATGTGCCTGACGCGGTTGTCGCCTTTGCGCTGCTGTCGCTCGCCTTGACGGAGTGGGTGTGTGTGGCGTTGCAGTGTCTCTCAGACGACCTTCGTCTTATTGAAATCATGTTTACCGCCTGCCTGGCGGTGCCCCACACGCTTGCCTTTGTTACACTTGTGAGGTGGGACTGGCTTATGGTCAAGGGCATCACTGATATTTTTCACTGCGAAGATGCGGTTGACCCAAACAGTGACGACGACCAGGCGTTTCCACTGCATACGTTGCCGCTGAGCCGTGAACTGAGTGTTGGTGTGTCGTGTTCGGAGGTGCAGCTCGACAGGGGGCGTACTGTCGTTGCCGCACTCGCGCGACGGTGGGGTGTGATGTATGCTATACTGGCGCTGGTGCGCCTTCTGTATGACGTTGGGGGTCTTCTGCCGGCGTACCTCCTACGGCTGCTGGTTGACAATCTCATGCAGGCAAACCTGGGTGACAAGAAGCATCGTGGGGATTTTCGCAGTTCTGTCGTTTTAATTTTTCTAATCGTCGCCTGTACATTAGCGGGGACGTTTCTGCGCATACACTACAACATGAAACTGCAGAAGATGGCTCTTTACAACCGAGGTGTATTAACTATGGAGCTCTTCCGATGTGGACTCTGCCGTCGACGTTATCAATTTGGTGACAAGACCCAAGGAGACATCATCAATCACCTTTCCGTGGATGTGCAGCGTGTTGCTGATGCCGTGCAGACGCTGAATGATCTCTGGGCTTTACCGCTTCAGTTGGCATTCGCCCTCTACCTTTTGTACATGCAGGTCTCTTTCGCGTTTCTCGCTGGGGTGGCTGTCACCCTTGTCCTCATTCCATTGAATGCGTTGCTCGCTAAACGCATCAAGAATGTGCAAACAGGCCTTATGCGGGAAAACGATGAACGCGTGCTGACCATCACGGAAATTGTGAATAATATTGTGTACGTGAAGATGTGTGGATGGTCACGTATGGCGAAACAATGGGTGGAGGAGCCCCGAGGACGCTACATGAAGTATCTTCGATGGCTCAAATACCTCGACGCATTCTGCGTCTTTTTCTGGGCTGTTACGCCAACCCTAGTGTCACTACTCACATTTATCACATTCATGTGGATGGGTGGGCAGCTGACGCCAGGCAAGGCCATCACAGCCTTGGCGTTGTTCGGCATGCTGATTTCCCCCCTGAACGCGTATCCATGGGTGATAAACGGTTTTGTGGAAGTCTACGTCTCGTGGCGACGTCTACAGCCGTTTCTTTCGATGCCGTTGGGCGATAGCAGTCTGAACCACTCAGATTATTTCATGAAGAGGGATGACAACACGACGATTGGCACTACCGAAGAGGAGTTGGGGGTGGAAATGGGCACACTGGGCGAAGTTCAACCTCTCTTACAAGAGGAGTCCACAATAGGCTACTCATACTTGTTAAAGCAGCCGAAGTCTAGCAGTATCGGGGGAAATAGCATTCACTCTCCACAAAAAAATGGCAATTCTACCCTCGTTGATATTGAGCAGGGTTGCGTAACTATAGACATGCCTACCAACAATATGGAGCTGCAGACAAAGTTCGAGTTACGTATTCCGAAATTCCAGGCATCTCGCGGTCAACTCATCGTCATTGTGGGGTACGCTGGGTCAGGAAAGAGCACTTTCCTCAATGGTCTAGCCGGTGAACTGGTGATAGCACGGAATTCGGCTGCTGTTTCTAGTGCTGCTGCTGATGCCACTGCCGTCGTATCCATTGCACGGGATTCTATGGCCTACGTGGAGCAGCAGCCCTTCCTGATGGCAGGAACGCTGCGTGAAAACATCCTCTTTGGCCACACGTACGACCCCGAGCGGTACGAAGCCGTGATGAATGCTGTTGCCCTTGCGGAGGATATTCGCTGCCACTTTGGTCCAGACGGTGATTTCTGTTCTGTCGGGGACCGCGGCGGGCGGTTGAGTGGTGGCCAAAAGGTGCGCGTGGCGTTGGCGCGCGCACTCTATGCCAACAAAGATGTGTGCCTCGTCGACGATATCCTCGGTTGCCTCGATGCCACGGTAGCGCACCACGTGATACGGGAGGCACTCGTGGCGGCGGCAAGGCGCGGCTGCTGCGTTATCGCCGCGACACACAGCAAGGAGCTAATAGAGAATGCGGACATTGTGTACACATGTACAAACGGGAACCTCATTTTAATTGACTGGACGACTATTGCAACCTCGTTGCCATCTCTATCATTTGCACGGCCGCGCGACGAAAAAGGAAGAGAGGAAAGTTTACTGCTACACAACAACGGAACGACTGAGACTGTGGAGCCACTTGCGAGTATGGAAGGAATGATGTCGTCATCTTCTACGACCCTCGAGTCCTCCGAGCGTGGGACACTTGCATGGGGTACTCTGACATGTTACCTCAGTCTCATCGGCTGGGGATTGACCACACTTATTGTAGTTTCCGTCGTCGCCATGCAAGCCGCGCGCAACGTCAGCGATCAGTACGTTGTTGTGTGGTCAAAAAATGGTAACGGCGACGTGGCTACATTCTTGCGCGTACTAGGTTCACTGGCAGTACTTAATAGTGTACTGGCGCTCGCCCGTGGATTTAGCTTCGCAGTTGGGGGCCTGCGGGCTGCGCAGAAACTGCACGACAAGCTTCTATGTCATGTGTTGTCTGCCACCTTTACATTCTTCTCTAATACGTCTCCAGGCCGGATCATCAACCGGCTCTCAAGTGACATCTACACGATTGATGAATCCCTGCCGTTCATCGCCAACATTCTCTTGGCGCAGACCTTTCTTCTTATTGGCTCTGTGGTTATTATTATTCTTAACTCTACAGCAGCGGTTGCACTGGCACTCATCCCACTTGCAGTGCTTTATTATCACATTCAGCGCCCGTACCGTCGCGTTTCGCGTGAGTTGCGGCGGCTGGAAGAGACGGTACGGGCGCCGTTGCTTGACGCCCTGCGTGACGAGTTGGATGGCGGTGTGGTGATGCGGTCTTTTGGCTCAGACACAGTGCGAGCCCACCTGCGTCGTGTGCAGAGGAGTCTCGACATGTACCTTCGCGTGCAGTACAACTCACTTCTACTGAATGCGTGGTTTGCTCTCCGTCTGGAGCTGGTAGGCGTACTGCTGCTCGTTCTCGTCGGTGGTGTTGCTGTTTACAACCATGGCTCTACCCACGCGCCGATGTTGGGACTTGCCCTCGCTTACGTTCAGCCACTGACATCGTACTTGAACGGTGTTCTTGGAGCCTTCACCTCCACGGAGAAGGAGCTCATCAGCGTGGAGCGGGTGCGGCAGTACTTTGAACTAGCAACTGAGGATGCTGGGGAGGAGTATACACCTTGTTCCCCTGGTTTCTACTGGCCTTTTCTCGGCACAATTGAATTTACAAATGTGTCCATGCGATATGACGCGGATGAAGGCCAAGTGCTGCATAAAATCACTTTCCACGTGGAGGCTGGAGAGAAGGTTGCCATTGTGGGACGAACGGGTGCTGGCAAGTCCTCCATTTTTGCTGCGCTTCTGCGTCTGGTTTGCATCGAGGAGGGCCGCATTACAATTGACGAAATTGACATTAATCAGTTACCGCTGGAGGTGCTTCGTACTCGCCTGGGTGTTCTCCCTCAACAGCCTTTCATCTTCCACGGCACCCTCCGCAGGAATGTGGACCCCTTTGGGCTCCATACAGATGACGATATCCGTGCAAGTCTTGCCTGCGTCGGGCTAACTGATTTTAGTCTTGATCTAAGTATATTTGAAAGGGGCAATGTGAGTGGTGGTCAACGGCACCAAATAGCAGTTGCGCGTGTGCTTCTGCAGCGGTCGCGTGTGCTGCTCTTGGACGAGCCCACATCACAATCGAACCAAGAGGCAGAATCCTCACTCTGGCTGGCGCTGGACGCCCACCTGAAGGGAACAACAGTCCTTTGCATCACGCACAAGCTCACCCACATTGATTTTTTTGATCGCATAATTGTCATTGACAAGGGGCGTGTTGTAAAGAGTGGCACGCCTGCACATCTCCGTTGTGATGGCGCATGGCCGTTCTTTTCAACCACAGAAAGACCCCTCTCCGCCCAATGCGTCAAAAACAAAATGACAAGGTAAAAAGAAGAAGAGGGGGGTGGGGGTGGGGAGTAATTTGTCTATCTACTCAGTTTGCGTGCGTGCGTGTGTGCGAGTGGGCATTGTTGAAAAGGGTGATTCTCTGTTTTTTTCTTTATATATACATATATATATTTATATATTTATTTATATGTGTGTGTGTGTGTGTTATGACGGGACTTGCTGCTTTGATTTTCGTTGAGCAGCAAAAAGGGAAAGGGCACGATTTGTGGTGAGGGAGAGAGATGATGTCGCAGTGCCGTCTGCTGGCCATTTTGACGGGCGCAGGCATCTCCGCGGAGTCTGGCATTCCCACGTTTCGTAGCAAAGATGGTCTCTGGGAGAATCACCGCGTTGAAGATGTGGCGTGCCCCAGTGCCTTTGTACGTGACCCGCAGCTTGTGCAGCGCTTCTACAACGCGCGCCGCCGGGCCCTTCTTGCGCCCGGTGTGGCGCCTAATCCCGCGCACCTTGCGCTCGCCAAGCTGCAGCGGGATTATCGCAAGGGACGTGTTGTGGTGATCACGCAGAACATCGACAACCTTCACGAGCGGGCGGGATCGGCGGCGGTGCTGCACATGCACGGAGAGCTGCTGAAAGTGCGATGCACTGTCACTGGGAAAGTGTTTGACTGGACGAAGGATGTCGTGCACGGGGAGGACAGATGCACATGCTGTTCTGCTCTCGAAACGCTGCGACCACACATTGTGTGGTTCGGCGAGATGCCACTTTACATGGACGAGATTGCTGCGGTGATGGAAAACGCTGATTTGTTTGTTGCGATTGGGACATCTGGCAACGTTTACCCTGCTGCCGGCCTCGCGATGCAGGCCAAGGCGAATGGGGCGAAGACACTCGAGCTCAATTTGGAGCCAGGCGAAAACCGAAGCGACTTTGACGAGTCGGTGTATGGCGAAGCCTCCGTGATTGTGCCGAAGTGGGTGGAAAAGGTTCTGCAGACGAGTGTGTAGCCCTATTGCTTCTTGTGTTGCTTCTCCAAGTGGAGACGTGGAAGATGAGACTTTGCTGTGCGAAGTGCCTTTGTTTGCTATGGGCGTCTTTTAATGTGGTGGTTTCTTGAATTGAATTGTTTTTTTTTTTTTTCTTTCTCTCTTGTTTCTGTTCATTCTTCGGATTCATTTTCACTGTAATTTGCTAATTGGGGGCGTGGAGTAATACAACTGCTTGGAAATTCTGTACGAACAAGAAAGAAAATAGCAACAGCAGCAACAAACAACAACAAAGCTACTCAAATAGATCGTTAATCGACCATACGAGATGACACTGCGTGGAGGTATTCGCTACATCGGCCTTGTGCTTATCCTTATTGTTTACATCGCCAGCGGCCTGCAGAACATCTCGAACCCCTCCGTCAGTGCCGCGCTGCTGGCAAAAAGCAACTTCTCCAAAATGCTGCAGATGATGGGAGTTGATTACACTCTGCGTGCCGCCGACTACACCGCAGTGGTTCAGGCGACAGGCGCTGTCTTCCTCGGCTTTTCTCTCTTCATTCTTCTGGGCGTCGGCCGATGTTTCTTCGCCTTCATGTTGGCGCTCGCCACCGCGGTTGTGACCGTCACGTTTCACGTAAACCTGGAGAACCCGCTGCGCATCAGCGACAACGACCTCTTCCACTGCATGAAGAACATCTCCGTCATTGGTGCGCTGCTGTTCGTCGCGGGTAGCGGCCATCGCACGCACCGCTACACGCAGGCGTGCCAAGAAGTGCAGGCCGCGAAGAAGAACCGGTAAAAGTAGTCGCATAATCTTCCCATTGGATATATATATATATATATATATCGAGAGAGAGAGAGAGAGAAAGAGAGGGAGAGGGAGAGGGAGAGAGAGGAATTTTTATGCGCAATGGTTCAAGTCTTTTTTTTGTCTGATTGCAAAGGCGATGGTAAATCGGGTTATCTGTTCACTGTTGCTATACACCCTGCAAAAAGGGGACCGACGCCGGACTGATTCATGCATGCGTAGTTGTGGTGGTGTGTGAGGAGGAAATGCAACCAAGAAGAACGGCAACAACAACAGCAACCAGAAAAGAACAAAAGAAAAGATATATTAAATCACGCACACACACACACACACACAACGAAGCTGCATCGTACTTTTAGGGGGAGGAAAGACAACTTTGCTGTGGTAATGGAAGGTGGTGCAAAAGTCAGGGTGCCCAGCAGAGAATAAAGGACAACAAACAGGGGGTGGGGGGAAGAACGAAAAGAAAACAGCGATGGAGCCTGGTGGGTCGTGTTTTGTGCGTTAATGACCAGCAGGGGAATCGGTTGTCTCGTGTGTACGCATCTGGGACCTCTCCTCATAAATAATTATGCTAACCGCATCACGGCTATTCCTCTGTGATTCCTCTGGTCGTGATTTAAACGCGCGCCCTCATATCATTCGTGCTTTTTATTTTTGGTGTATTGATTGATTGATTCTGTTATATTTGGTCTTCTTAGAAGCACACGGGCAGCGCACAAGAGACAAAGCGTAGGTGACGGTCCTTAAAGTGCCTACACAACAGCAAACAGAAAGTTTAGAAAGCTAAGGGGAGGGGGCACATCACCGTATGCTCATCAAGGTAAAGACAGTAAGCAACAAGGTGATCGAGGTCGCCTCGTTGAATGAGGAAAACACCATTGCAGAGCTGAAGGAGAAGTTGGAAGAGTCGGAGGGCATCCCCGGCAAGATGATTCGCCTTGTTTATCAGGGCAAGCAGCTCGAGGACGAGAAACGGATCAGAGACTACCCCATTGCGGCCGGTGCGACGCTGCACATGGTGGTGGCGTTGCGTGCCGGGTGCTGAGTGTGACGAGACGTTACAAGCGGAAGGAATGCGAATACTGAAGGAGGGCAAAATTGGGGAAAGAACAACAACTACGTGGAACATGGTTCCGTTTTATGTGATTCACATCCACGGTGACTGACGCACAGATTCTCTTGTTGGGTCCTTTCTTGTCGGAGATGTCGTTGTTCTCTAAGCAGATTTGATCCTCGAGGAGGAGAGATGGATTTTTCTCACCTGTATCGTTTCTTTTTCTTTTTCTCTCTCTCATTATATATATATTTATATATATATATATATATATGTCTGCGTCTGTATGTGTGTGTGTCCATGTGTGCAAGGTGGTGTTTATATCTCGTGCGCGAGGAAAGGCATCCGCACCCCCTCCCCCCGTGGTGAAGCAGCGAGGCCCGTCCGCTTGTGTTATTGCAGCACACGACTAGGAACGCGAAACGGAGCATGTCGTTGTGGCCCTTCCGCACTGGCAATGACGACCGCTTTCAAGTCACCAGCGCGGAGGAGACGATTTATGACGCCATCAAAGGGGAGATGCCGCCGCACCGCTACGAAACAGAGGTGAGTAGCTACTTGGAGTGGCGCTGGCGCCGCGGACTGCTGCAAAGCGTCTTCCCTGTGACGTGCTACAGCGCGGTGTTGGGCTGTGTGATAGGTTTTCGGCAGGCACGCACGGAGGGACGCCATATTGGCCGCTACAAAGTGTTGTGGCGTTACAGCTCCACATTTGCGGCGATGGGTTTACTGACAACAGCGTTCCACCATCTGTTGGTGGTGCGCAATAATTATCACGACCGGTTGTACTATCCTATGCTTGCAGGAGCGTCAGGGGCAGTCCTGCTGACAATGGCGTCACAGATGGGGACCCTTGGACAGGGCATGTTCGCTGGCTCGCTCGTTGGGGTGATGTACACACTAGGCTGCTACGGCATGACGTACTACCACAAGCGGCGTCTAAAGATATTTCTGCAGCAGCAGCAGGTGCAACAGGTGCCAGTTCACAAAGTATCACCAGAGCTGCAGCGCATGTACCGGGCTTACCTCTATGACAACAGGCCGCTGGAGGAAAAGGACTATCTCAGACGGCAGGCTGTTGTTCTTTCGCTGGGTGCCGAAGATGCACGGCTGGACGCAAAGACTATCCTGCACAACATGACACCTGAGGTGTTTGACTGGGTTAACTTCCCCGATTGGTGGCCGTTGAAGTTCCCACAGCAGACGGAGGAAGAGCGGATGATTCTTGAGCGGCAGCGAGACGAAGAGGTAGAGCGGCGAAAGCAGCTCTTTTTGGAGACGGATGATGGGGCCTTATTGAAGCGTGTCTACAGAGCGAAACAGTACCGCGATGAGTAGCGGTGTGGAGCAAAGGAGAGAAAGCGAGTGCGATGTGTCGTGGTGGGGCTGTCGACTGACTTGCATCAATGCTGCTGGACGCAACGGCGGATGATTGTAGACAATTTGCTTGTTTCTCCCCAAAATTGTTTTTCTTTTGTTTCACTTGCATGTTGTGGTCTCGTCTTGTACGTAGCGAAGGAAGGGTCACTGGAGGTGTGGGCGCGGGCTCTAAATCTCGACCCCATCTCTCTCTCACACACACACAAGTGGCAGATTTGGAAATCATCAAAAAATAAAGGGAGGAAACAACAAACAAAAAAAAACTGTGAGCTTGTGGCACTTATTTCTGTGTGTTCTCCATAGGGGCTGCGCACGAGTCGATCATACCCAAGAAAAAAACGACGGGAATGAGGATTCATGGCGCTAGGTTCCGTGTAACACTACAGCGTATAAATGTCCGGACTGCACTCTCCTCTCCACAACACGAGGCGAGACGCAGCAATAGTGACACGAACAGCGGCAACAATAGCGACAATGGCAGCAACGACAACACCAATAAAAATTCGTCCACGGCCGGTGGCTACCTTAATGGTATGTACTCCACTTTTGGTGTGAGTCGCAGGTCGTATTATAGAGGTTTGCCGTTTGATGAGCGGTGGGACCGCATTCAGCGTCACCTTGGAGTTTTAGGCCGTGTCTCAGCGGGCAACACGGTGATTCCCTACCGCGATGGCGCCGAGTCATTTCGGGTAATGTGGAAAGCTATTGATGAGTCCAAGAAGAGTGTACTGTGGCAAACGTATATCTGCAAGGATGATCACGTTGGGCGGGTTACAGTAGCGAAGATGGAAGCTGCACATCGACGCGGGTGTCGCACCGAACTCTTGTACGATTGCGGTGGGAACATCACTGGACGGCGACGCCTCGTGGGGAATCTCAAGCAGTCCGGTGCCACTGTTATTGAGCATCGGCCCTTTTTCGATCATTTTTGGCAGTATATGCTGGGCGGCATGAAGTGGGAACGCAGCCCGGCTATCCGCAATCACCGTAAAATACTCCTCGTAGATGACACAATTGGTTTTTGTGGCGGATTGAACATTGGCAATGAGTACTGCGGCAAGAGTCAGGGTGGGACAGGCAGGTTTCGCGACACGCACTGTTCAGTAACGGGTCCTGCCGTGGCGCACCTTCGTGAGGTGTACGATGACACGAAGGCACCGAAGCCTTGGAAGTGGAGCTGGGCCCGTTGGCGGCAGATTGCCGCAGTTACAATGAATCTTCGATACAAGGAAGGCAAGAATGTGACCGATGAGATCCTTTTGCCCATGAAGAACTCTATGCAGCAAAACGGTAAGGTGTATATGACGCGGCAGTTTGTGAAGGCGGGCAAAGGCACCGCTCGCATTATGGAGCGTATGCGATGGAGGCGGCAGCGCGAACAGCTGGAACGCCTTATGCAATGGTGTCAAGACGAGACCACAGAGGAGCCAAAGCGTGAGACAGGAGATATTGAAAATACATGCACTAAGATATCTTCTGACAATGGAAAAAGCGCTGTTCGCTGTCGCATGCGATCAAGCACAGCAAAACAAAAGACAGAAAAGTGTGATGCGCATGCGCTCTCTCAAGCCCAGGGAATGTTTGAACAACGTGTATGCGGGAAGTGGATCCTGGCGATGCCATTGAACGATACAGATCCTGTGCCTGGGGCAGTGGCGTACGGCGAGACGCGACCCACCGTCACTCAGGTGCTGAGCTGTAATCCTCACACGCGGGACTGGTCAATCCCGTATGCCTTTTGGCAGGTCTCACAAAAGGCACACCGACGTCTGTGGGTAACGACGCCGTACTACATGCCTCACCGGAAACTGATGCTGGCCATTCTGCGTGCAGCTCGCCGCGGGGTTGATGTGCGCATTCTTGCTGGGAGTTGCCACACGACAGATCCTTGGTTCATGTGGTATGCGTCGAATTATATCACAGAGCGACTGCTGGCGGCTGGCGTTCGTGTCTACGAGTACAAGGGTGATCAAGTTATGCACGCCAAGACAGTGGTGGTTGATAGCATTTGGTCCTCGGTGGGTAGTTACAATTGGGACATGATGAGCAACAAGAATATGGAGGTTTGCGTCTGTCACCTTGGGTACGACCTGGCGCGGGAGATGGAGGAGCACTTCCTCGCCGACCTGCAGGTGAGCATTGAGTTGAATTACGATGAGTACAAGCGCCGGTCGTGGTGGCTTCGGTTTGCCTCGTGGTTCTTCTACGGTGGGTTGCAGATTGCTGAGAAGCTTACGTTCCGCACGTTCCGGGACGCGGATCTTTCCTCTGAGATTGGCGGTCTTCGCTAGTCGTGTCGAGGAAGATACACATATATCAGCAAGGAAAGCAAGTAGAAAAAAAAGATGGAGATGCTGTTAAGTCAAATATTATGTGATAACTTAACTTCATATGTTATTGTTTCTGGGATGTTTAGCCTTTATTGCTCTCTGGATAATGCAGTGGTGAGTATGCCTCAATTGTCAGCCATCATTGTGCATCCCCATGCACGGTGTAAATGGTATGCCTTTACTCCCCAAAAGACTTAACGAAAACAAAAAAAAAGCAAATATTTCCTCGCACATACACACACACACAAAAAAAAAGACACAAATACAACTTGGAAGTGGTGATGAGAGCTGGAAGCGAAGGGTCTCTCACAGTTCCTTTCAGTAAACAGTACCGCCCCAGGGTGTTTCAGTCCGAAATTTCCTTTGGCGTTGTTTTGTTTCTCGTGTGTTGCTCCTCCGTAAATACACTATGCCTCTTGACCTAAATTATTCTTGTTCTTTGCTCTCCTCCTGTTTGGCTTATTTCTGATTTTGTTCTTGCTGGGGGTGGTGCATGCCCTTTGCTACCCCAAGCACACTAAAAAAAAAGGTGAATATTTGGCTCTGGGGTCTGGTCCCTTGTCTGAAGAGCCCGAGGCACGTACCACAACCAAAAAGGTATTTGTTCTTTCACGTAACAATTCAGAAAGATGGCAGGCAACTGCGTGGAGGGGAGCTGCATTTCACATTTTTTGCGTGCGAGTGGCTGGGGTGAAGTGGTGGATAAGGTGCAAATGCTGCTCCTTGCAGCAATGACACGACTCACGCGCGACCTCTTGGAGCTGTTCGCTCGAGTAAAGGCTTCACCAGATCGCCGTCGTGTCGTGAAGGAACTCTTTGCACAAATTAAGAGCGTCATCACCGAAATTGCAACGATTCCTGTTGAATATGCGCAACTAACAGGTGTGCGTACCACCCTCGACGTGTTCCCCTGTGGAAGTTTCGTCGTCGCTACAGACCTCAGTGACTCGGCCCTGGACCTCACAATTGTGCAACGGGTGAGCCCAGAAATGCGTTACTTCCTGCGGAGGTGCAACGAGAAGCCTGACGAAGTGCCGCCAGTGGAAGGACTCGTACGAATTCGCTTGATTGGCACGGACGTGGATGTTCTTCTGCGGTACCCTTCCGGCTCCGCTCTGGCGTTGCCGCTGTTAACCGAAGGTGACTTGATAGACCGTCTCCGGAGTGTTCTGATCGATCGGCTGTCGCTGCAGATGTCAGACGCCACTTGTCACAAGAAAGATGCATGTAATCTCTGCCTTCACTCCTCTTCGGCAGGTGGCATCGATGTGAATCTAACAGTCAATGAAGAGGATGCCGTTGAGGGTTCCGAGGTGCTTCATAGTTTCCTCAAAGGCAATGGGCTGGTTCGAATCGTGATCGCTTTTATGAAGTTGTCCCTGAAGCAGTTCGATGTGCACCCCTCACAGCTTACTCCGTACGTGGTAACGTTGATGGTTGTTGCGTTTGCCAAGTACTGCTCCCACACTTACCCAATGCCCAATTACTTGCACTATCCGTATCGACGGGAAGCAGTAGAGCCAGGCTACCTGTTATTTTCGTTTCTGAGCTTTTTCTGCCCGCCACCACGTGGGCTATTTGATCCGAGACGTATGCGCATTGTTCCCTCTCATCCACACGGTATTCTGCAGGAACCTGAAAACGAATGCTTTCCGCTGTCAGACCCCAGCGAGAGCAGCGGAGATTTGTGTTGGCACGTGATGGAGCCAACAAGTCATGAACGCAATGCAGCTGCCTCATGCAAATTGATTCACCAGTGCCCTCAGCTGTTTGAGTACATTCTCATTCGTCTGCTTCACACATATGATGGGGGTGTTCTCCTATCATCATTCAATTCTCGCAAGGAGGCAACAAGCCAGATGGAGCACAGTTGCAAGGACGCAATAATAACTGAGGCGAATCCGCTATCTCTTCGCAATCAGTTTGATCCCCTCACGCTTCGTGACTGGCGGCCCATCATGCGGGAAGAGTCTTCACAACCTTCGGTCTAGTTTGCCTTTCATGATTCCTTGTGCGTCTCTCTCCCTAAAGAGACGATCATTGGGACTGATTTACCGAGAATTTATGCTTTTAGATTGCGATTGTCCTTTTTTTTTTCCCTTGTTTGTTGGTGTGGCTATGTTTTAACTAATGTCCTCTTTACAATGCAATGTCACAGTGTCACTGACAGAGTGTAGGCACACTCAGAGATTCTATTGCATATGTAAATGCAATTACAAGTTAGATTGAGTAGGGACTTGGGGCATTTTAATCGCGCCAGTATACAATATGGCGTGATTTCGTATTCCCTTCTTTTTGTTGTTGTTGTTGTTGTTGTGGCTAGATGTGGTGGGGAAAAGGAAGGAGATATTTGGTTTCTTTGGCATGTGAATGACAATTTCTCCCCTACTTCCTTTTTTTTTTTTTAATCTCTCTCACTCACAGAACTCAAGGCTCCCCTTTGTGGGCGGAGGGGGTGGAGTTTAATTTACATAGAATGCGACAGCAAGGGCTGCTTCGCGCCTTCTCGTACGGTCGTGCTGCGACACTTCTTCGAAGACCACACGGTGTTCCTGCCGCCGGTGCACCTGATGTGGTGGCCCTTCACCATTGTTGCACACCGTGGCGTGTTGCAACCCAGCAGCGCTGTGTAACGAGTGGAGAAGAGTTCTTCACACCGTCAAAGAGTGATGACAGAGCGTGGACAGATGGAATGGTCGTTGAGGGTATTCGACGTGTCTTGTCTTCACTCCCTCCACCAAGCCAGGAGGGGCAGCAGAGTGTGGAAAATAATGCGCACTCCATTCATGCACTCTTCCGCGCACTAGGTCCGTCGCTGCGTTATCGGCTGCAGAACTCCTCCTACGGATCGCTCAACAAGGCGCTGAAGAGCAGGCCGGATTGGTTCCTCCTCGACGACAACGGCAGCAGAGTAAGCCTCTCAAAGGCGGCATGGTCTCTTGACAACACTTGCAGGCGCGGAAACGGTGATGTTGCAGCTTCCGGTACCGCATCGAGTGATGCTCGCTCCCCGAAAGGTGCAATTACCGCATCTACAAGGTGTGTACTGGTTCGTGGTGCATTGATCTCTACGCCAGTGGACGTTTCCAAGCCATTACTCACACCCGAGGAGATAGAGAAGTGGAAACTGACGCGACTCATTCTGCCGCTTGGTCTGCCTTTCTATTGGGACAGGGAGCCTGCCACACTCTTCCCATACGGTGAGAAGCCGCGGCAGCTGACGCCGGAACTAGCCGATGTTGAGGCCATGTACAGCTCAAAGGGTTTCTTCACGCCGTCTGATGTAGCAGCGGCATTTATTCCCATCACCCCAACTTTCTTTGTGGAAACGCGCCACGTCCTAAACGCCATGTCCCCTGGCGTCGCGCAGTGTTTTGAGAGATGTATCCCGAAGGAGCGTGTCGTTGATGTCTTTCTCAAAAAATATCCCATGATATTTAAACTTAAACTCGGCAAGTTTCAAAAGGCAGCGGTAAAGCTGAACCTAGACTTCCCCTTCATTCGCGAGTACCCTGGCTGCGGGCGGGCAGACCGTCTCCTGCGCCGTTGGAATCAGGAGTACCGTGCAACTGTCGGTGGTGTTCTCCCCCGTCAGTTGGCGTCGTCGTCATCATCATCACATACATTGTCGTCCTCGTCATTGAACGATGCGGGTGCGCAGGGTCGGCGTGCGGAGCCGCACATCGACATGAAGATATTTGAAACACTCGTACGTCACCTGCCGCGTGTGGCGACCGAGCCGACGCTTTCGAAAGAGGAACTCGAGGAGAAGCGCTGCCGTCCATTCCCATTGGTGGAGTGGATCGATGGTTTTTCACAGGAGGACTTAGATGTTCTGAATAGTGTGCCACAGCAGCGGGTATTGACGCTACTGACACGCTACACGCGCATATTTCAACTGATGTGCCACGGTGAGGACTCGAATGTGTTCAGCGAGCACACATACTTGGAGGCGTTGAGGGACACGAAGCGCAAACAGCGTCCTTGTATGGATGGAGGAAACGGAGACGATTCACCACCACCTACTTTGAATGTGTCAAGTGAGATACCTGGCAATGTTGATGGCGGTAATTCCTCTCCAGTTGAAAGAGAGACGAAAGTGGTCGCACTAAATGCGACGGCAGAGCCTGAGAGCAATTTGAAGCGGCGAGAGGCAAACATAGCGGCAGCTCTTCGAGACGATATGCTTGGCCTCGACGATTTTATCAACGACACCTCAAATTCTGCAGTTCTTGTAGAAACAAGTACCCTGGAAGCGAATAAAGATGCGAACACTGAATTCAACACCAAGGAGGACGAGGAACAGGAAGAAGCAGATCTCACGGAGGTAAAGGAAGAAAATGAAGAGGAGGAAGATAGCTTCGCCTTCAATAGCGATGAGGGCGATAATAATAACAATAATAGTGGTGAGAGGGGACGCCTTGGTAGTGGTTCAGGGGAAACAGACCCGCGAGTTACCGAGCAGGCGTCCACTGATGACGATTGGAGCGGACCGTATATTCCTTCCCGCTACGACATTATTTACGTCCGGCGTCTCCCGAAGCACATTGCACCGCGGAGTCTGAGCGACTACAACACAACAAACTCGCCGGAACCAGAGCTGCTACGACAGATAGCATCCTTTCTCAATCCTCCTCCATCGCTGCGGGAGAGTTCACGAACGTGTACGCCACAGGTTATAAGACTGGAAAGAGTCGCTCGCTTTCCCAGCGCAGCCAACTCTGGTCCGTGGCGGTGGGTTCCCATACAACGCATTTACGCCTCCCTTAGCAAGGCGCAGAAGCGACTTCTGCGGCCGTACAAGGGGCTCGTGCACTTTATGCGACTCCACGGTGAGATATTTGAACTTAGTGCGGACTTTTTGTACGTCATTGCGCACGATCCACAAGGACAGATTCCGCCATTTGTCCCAACGCAAGTTACATTTTACAGCGAAGACCGCGTGCTACTTCCGCCGACAATTGACGATGATGAGAATTCCAGAGCAGCTTTGATAGGTGATGCGGAGCGAAATAAGTTTGAAGGCATCCTAGGAGCGAGCCAGATTCCAACCAATCGCCAGCAGCTGCTCCTCCTCGATCCATTGAATCCTCTTCTTGACCACGATGTGCTATGCGAGGAGGTTTCTTTCTTCATGCCAGATCACCCAGTTTCGCTCCCACAACTGATGGGACGTTTACCACCGATATTGAGGGCGGCACTTTCTACCCGCCACAAAAACAATTTCAAGACCAGCAAGCACCTTACCGTTTGGACAGAGAATAACCGCATGATGCTGCAAAAGAGTCAGTTGGCCATTCCAGAGTCCGCTTCAATGGGTGAGGAATCCCTCACAGTGGAGGATGCTATTGAGTGTGTGCGTGAAGTGGTTCCTGACGAGGGAGTTATGGTTGGTCATCTGCAGCGTATGTTGCCCTTTGCCGCCAAGAAGGCGTTGAAGGAGCACTTTGGTAACGTATACAACGCCCTGCTTGGGTACCCGCAGTACTTTTATGTCGAGAAGGTTGAAGGGAGTCACTACAACAGTATGTTGTTCCTCGTGGAGCGCCTTCAAGAGGAAAAACAGTAATGTTCTGTATTGGATGTGTCCATGTGCGTTTTTGTGCGTAATGTGGAGTTGTCCGCGTGACATTAGTTGTTGATATTGGGGCGAGCCCGTCCCGTGTGTTTCGCTCTAATGCAAAATCGTCTGTCATGTAGGGTGGGCAGGGTATGAGTGATTCTGCAGTCTTTCTTGCCCTCATCCTCCCTCTCCCCAACTCTCTGTAATGTCTGTGTATGCGGGTATCATTCTGTATCTGATGTGTAGTGCTTGTGATGAGCGAGCCGTTAGATAGTAGCGTTGGGGTGCCGTACTTGCCCCTGCGGTACATCCCGCGAGATGCGGCGTTGTTGTTTCCATTTTTGGCCACCCGGCCTCGTGCACCTCATCTTCCTCGCGTGTACGCGGCGTCTCTGGCGTTGGAATACACACCACTTCGAGAATCCACTCCGTCTGTGCCATTTCCTGATGTTGACTTCAGCCTGGGGATGTGCTTCATCATTGTGGGTTACAGAGGCGTTTTGTGTGGGCGCGTAACAAACAATCCCAAGACCAAGGTGGACTCTGGAGAGAGCAACTCCTCTGAGTCACGCAATAGCGATGCTTGCAAAACGCCGGATGCCCAGAACCCATTATGGCGCACCACCTTGCTGCCATTCTGCAGTGACTCTACACTACACCCCGCTCTTGGGTCTGTTTTCCGTGTATATACAACAGAGGAAGATCCGGCGTGGTTGCTCCTTATGAGCCACGAACAGCAGCGGCAGGAGCAACAACAACAACGTGAACGACCACAGGGAAGGCGTATATTGGCTGTGAGAGTGGTGCGTATACCTGTCGTAGCGGAGGCGCGGCGTCTGCGTGGAGCTCTAACAGCATTGCTGCGCCACCACTGTGGCGACTCAGTGGCCAAGGAGGTGTGTCGCTCTTTGGCCTCAGTAAAGGAACTGCTTACCACCGCTTTGGAATACTCCTATAGAAGTGGTGGCAACACGGGAGAGTCTTTACGGTTATATTCGCTTTCGTCGCGTCTTACCGCTGATCAGTACATTCACCTGGCGGAAGTAATAATATCGAAACAGCTGGCATCTGTCGTCAATACGGCGGTGCCAATCATGACGCATGTCCCACCTCTCGCTGGCAGAGTTGGATCGGGTGCGCAAATGCAAGGCTTTGGGTCTGGCGGAACAACAAATAGGAGTGATGTTGAAATGATGTCACTCCCAACCCCGCTGGAAAGTGCCCTCACCGCACTAAGAGAAGAGGTGGAGCAAAAGCGCGTATGGCTCTCACGCGAGCAGCAGCGGCGCACCGATATGACGGAGGTGGAGCGGCAAGCGGATGAGCGGCACCACGCCGTGCTGCAAGAACTGGAGTTGGTGCGGGCTCAATACCGGGATGCACTGCGCGAGGGCAACAAGCTCATGACAACTGTGAGTGAGGAGGAGCAAAAATGGAATGCGCTTGCCAAGGCACGTGAAGAGGAGCGGCGCACCGAGGAGGAAAGACTCACTGCGCTGGAACAGGAGTACAGCAGTCGTTTCGAGGAGAGCAGGCGCGAGTTGGAGGAGCTGCGCACGGAGAAGTCCCGAGTGGAAATGGAAGAGGCAGCGCGAGAAGCCGCGAGGGTGGAAATGGTACATGTTATGCGGATTGAGCGAGAGTCGCTCTTGCAGGAGGTGGAGCTTCTGGATGAGCAACTGGCTGAGATGCTGCGGGAAAAACGGGAGCGCGCCGCCGAGACCACACGCCCGTTGAGGAGGAAAGGCGGCACCAGGTGTCGCAAGACCCGCACATTTGAAGAGACACGTGCGCAGAACACAGCACTAAATGGGTTGCTGCAGAAGTTGAACTCAGAGATTGAAGAGGAGGATCAGAAGGAGGTTGACTTAGCCGGCGACCTACACGCCTTTACCACGGACATTGACGAACTGGAGAAACGGAAGATACTCCTCGAACTGGAGTACAGCTTGCTTGCCGATACATCTTTGGCGCTGCGACAAAACCTGGAGGCCCAAGCAGAGGCGCTCAACGCGCAGCAAGAAGCCATTGCGGCGAGCAAGAAGCAAATGCCAACACGGCTGCTCGTTCAGCTGACGCGGACCCGAAAATCCCTGATCGTCAAGGAGAATGCTGCGGCGCTTCTTCGTAGACTCAAAGCCAATCTCGGCACATGAACGAGAATGACAGTTTCTTTCCTCTATCGATTATTTCCTTTTTGTTTTTCGGATATGCCTTTCTTTGCAAAACAAGCAGAATATTTGGAGGAGGGTACGTGCACGCATCGGATGTACGCAACAAAAGAAAGGCTTCTGTTGGTATTGCTGTTGCACATCCTTCATCCCCCCTCCCTTTCCTCCTCCTCCTCCTCCTCCTCTCGCTCCGTCTACACTGTGCGAAGAATCTGTATGAAAAAGGCTCTTAACCCCAACGCCGGGGAGTTTCGCCCCCCTTGTGGGGTCTTCACACTGGCATCGTTGAACGAAAGAGGGGGAAGTCGCTCGTCCTCGCTGCAAGGTGGTGCTGCCGCGTCTCCTGCGTCTTTGCCCCAGCGCCACGTCGATGGCACCGCTGATGCCACATCTGACAAGGGGCCTTTCTTGTACTCCGATGAAAGTGTGGAAGCGCGTTTTTTCATACCTGTCAGTCGTTCCCTAATGGAGTGTCGTGCAGCATTCTACGAGCACCCAGAGTCTAGTCCGTGGAAGCACCTGGAATTTGAGCGTCTTCTGCGCCGCTGTTTTTTCGCCGCACACGACGCCAATGAGCTGAGCATCTCATTCTCCTCGATGTGCGGCCGGTTCAAACCATTCTGGCTCTCTTATTCACCCTCGTACTTTCTCATGGCACACGATGTCGTGCAAGAGATTGAGATTGGCACCTCCCATACCAGTGACCATGGCGGAGGGAAGGCAGGCTCAACAACACCAGCGCCAACACCAGAGAAAGATGGGCCTGGTTCAAGCAATGAGGCAGCGGAGGAGTCTTGTAGACGCGAGAAACTCCGAGAGGTATATCTTCGGAGTGTCCGACCATTGGTTCCTTGTGCTTTGCGCAAACGATTGGCGACCCATGCCAAACGCAGCAGTGCTGCTTCTGGAACGGATGTGAATGCCGCCATCACATATGCCCTGGACATATTCTTTCTTTTTACGCGACTCCAGTTCCTTCAATTTCTCGATGTGTCTGCCGGATCCAGTTACTCCGCATGTGTTCAATTCCTCACCAGGCTGCGTGAGCGTCTCTTCAAATCGGAGGTCACAGAACATTTTCTCAATGTAGTGCTGGTTCTAATATTGATCTCTTCTGTTCACCTTGCATCAGCGCAACGTGCGATGGAGGTGGCCAATGAAGAGATATTGTCAAGACTCAAGGTGCAGTGCTTGTTCTGCGCATACTTTCCGGTGTTGGCTGTGGCGTTTCTCGCTGGATCACCGCTGCAGTCCATGGAAGAGTTGCGGTACGCCTGTGTCGCAACAAGCGTGGACGAGTGTCTGCCGGCACTTCGCAACTGTCCAAGAGGTGCTGTGGCAGTAAAGGAGCTGATGTCATACAACAACAAAACAGCGATGCTGTGGAGTATCACATTGGATGAAGTGGTTACATGTTGTTTGCGACACATGGCGCAGAGAGACCGTGACATTCATACTTTTTTACTCGCAGACCCCACTGCGCTCGATGAGCATCTACATGTATGCCACCCTACTGTGTTGAGCTGTCTGTTCAACTCCGCGAACTCTGTGGAAGATGAGGAAACTGAGGAAATGTGCCAGAATCAGGAGCAGCAAGGGCATGTCTCACGGTCTGATGAGTTTCATCGGCTGGCGATGGAGGCGGCTACCACATCGTCTGGTAGCGAGTACGAAACTGTCTACTTCAGCCTTCTCGCGCTGGTCAACATGGACTGCTTCACACCAACAGAGATATCATGCCTTTTTGCCGCGCTAGAGGACACTAACGGGAATGGCAGAAACCCATCGGCATTTCAGTTGTTCCTCTCATCACCGGTGTGTGCGTCACTGCACCCGGCGGCTAGCGAGCTGCTCGACGTGCTGAGCACGCTGATGCGGCGCGGTAAGCTGGTGCACTTGCGGGCGCTGCGAGAGGTGCAATTTATGTTCAACCGGCGCCTCGAGTCGTCGCGGGCACGGAAACCATCCAGCCGATGGAAAGAGTGACGGCACAGCAAAACGCAGGCGCCAAGAAGAATAATGATGAGAGGGATGGAAAGAAATGAGGGAGAAACAAGCAGAGAAAAAAAAACAGAAAAAAACAATGATGACACAAAAATTTATGCAAAATGAAATGAAGCCGATATGTCTGGCAATGCAACGGCACGATTTGTTCGGGTTTTCCATTTGTCCTTTGCATTTCGCATCTGTATGAGTACAGGGAATGGCCTTGCAGGCTATAAAAATGGGGGAGGAGAAAGGAAGATACCTGCCGATGGAAACATATGCCGTATCTACAAACATGCGGTTTTGATGTAATACGTGACGGTGTGTCTGTATGTTTATTTGTGTGTGTGTGCATGTGTGTGTGTGTGTGTGTGTGTGCTGCTGCCGCTGCTGTTGTTGCTGTTTCTGGTTTATAAAGGCAAAAGAAAGGTGTTTGTTCTTCCAAACGGTGGCGTAGCACTGACACCGACTCCAAATATCACATCACCCAAAATCACCACAGCCTTTGGTGCCCCCGGCCTCATCTGACCTTTGTTATGCCTTTCTTTGTTTTTGTTTTTGTTTTATGTTTATGCTCTTCTTACGGATTCTCACGCGCTGTTTGTGGATGAATAGGTGCAGTGATGCGCGACTCGTTTGCTTCCTCCGTTGTTTCAAGCGATCTTTATGTGTCCGATGTCCATTGCCAGACACCCGGTGGCCCCCCTCTCCCCCTAAGCCACACGCAGACACACACACACACACACACACACTTACACTCACTCACATACCCAGGCACACCAACATACAGAGGTGCAGCTTTTTTTTTCTCTTGGCAGCTGCACATTTGACTCACAAACCTTTGCACTTGTCCTTTCGGAGGACTGAGCCTTGATACGTGAGAATGCCGCGTATATGACGAAACAACTCACACATCAATCGGCCATCGCCACAACTTCCCCTCTTTCCAACAGGAGGTGGTGGCAGTAGTAGTAGTGGTAATGAGGAAGCGATAGAAGGACGAGGTCTTTCGTGTGTGTCATTTGTCCCTTTTTTTTTTCTGATTCTTTCTCTTCCTTCCGGATCATCCGTTTTCTTTTGTGACTTTCAGGTTTGACAGGCGTTCTCTAAAAATTTATTTATTTGACTCAATATCACAAACATCGCTGTTAGCAGAACCGGGATTCAGATGCCCCCAAAACTGAGACCTCTTCCGCGAAAGCCAAATGTCCCACCACCGTTAGAGAGCAGTGACGACGACATTACGCTAGGCAACATTCGTGTCGGCCCGAACGGCGTCGAGTTCACCGGCGAGGGTGATCTGCACGTGCCCCGTCAAGACCTTGCGCTCGGCACGCTCAAGATGGTAAGGCCTCTCGGGAGGGGTACGCAGGGAAATGTGAGTAAGTATGTTAGCACCAAGGACAACAAGGTGTATGCGGTGAAGCGGCTCTACATTCCTAGCACCTCGGATAAAAAGAATAAACTCACTGTTGCAGGGGAGCTACGCAACATTCTCTCTCAGCAAGCCAATGCATACACCGTTGAACTCTATAACGCATTCTACCGAGATAGGACGCTCTGGCTTGTCATGGAGTACATGGACTGGGGTAACCTCGAGGAGCTCATCAACTTATGTCCGGCCGTGCCGGAGACAGCTTGCGCGTACATTGCATCACAAATTTTACACGCGCTCGAGGCCCTTCATAGAAAAGTCAACCATCACACAGAAACTGATCAAAAGGGGCGCCGCCAGATTCATCGTGATATAAAGCCGGCTAATGTGATGTTGTCTGTCGATGGAACGGTGAAGCTGACGGACTTCGGCATTGCAGCGAGTGCGGAAACGATTGGTGTCAATTCTTTTGTTGGAACTGCAACGTACATGAGCCCGGAGCGTATTCAGGGCCGGATGTACAGTACACCAAGTGACATTTGGAGTGTAGGTGTCCTGATTGCTCACCTTCTGTTGGGTAAATTTCCTTTTCCCGCTGCGGAGAAGGGCTTCATGGCTCTCCTGCACCAGGTGACAGAGTGTCAGTCGCTCCCTCTAGTCGACAGGTGCAGGTGCTCGTTGGAGGCGGAGGAGTTTATCAATTGTTGTCTTCGTCAAAAACCAGAGGAGCGTAGCACTGCGACAGAGCTGCTCGGACACAAATGGATTGTCGAGAATGCTTCAAAAGGAAAGGATATCCTCACAGAATTATTAGCCAAGTTGGGAGAGCCTTCTCCCTTCAACGAGAAAAGCCCTTGTACTTGACGTGTGCATCGGCGACCTCTCTTCCCCAAAGAGCACTCCTTCCCCTCTATCTCTCCCCCCCCCCGCTCATACACACACACTCACATAGAACGCTTCCAGTTAAGAAAAAAACGAGGGAATTAACGGCAAATCAAGGCAGCGTCATCTTTTTCTGTTACGGATGGGGGTTAGTGTGTGTTTGCATCTTCAGTTCAACAAGGCTTGCTTTCACTTTGTTGTTGTTGGTGTTAAAGTTACCTTGTGTATCTATATAATACCAAAAGAAAAAAAAATCTCTTCGCAGTTGAATTGCTCTGATTATTCGTACATGGTCTTCAATTCCACAATGTCTTTTATTGTGTTTTCTTCTGTGTTTCTTTCTTGTTGTCCCCTTCCCTCTAGTGTATGTGTGTTTGTGCGTGTGTCTCTAATTCCCTCTTAGCTGCAGGACAAAGTGNTACCAAAAGAAAAAAAAATCTCTTCGCAGTTGAATTGCTCTGATTATTCGTACATGGTCTTCAATTCCACAATGTCTTTTATTGTGTTTCTTTCTTGTTGTCCCCTTCCCTCTAGTGTATGTGTGTTTGTGCGTGTGTCTCTAATTCCCTCTTAGCTGCAGGACAAAGTGCGAGGCGGTGAAACCCCCACCCCCACACCCCTCAAAAAAAAAACACACACAAAAAAATGCACCGCACTGACCCGTATCTCGGGATGCTGTCATTCGATGCCAAGAGCAAGGATATTGTCGTCAACACCCTGCCGCTTGATGCGGATGTGGCGCTTGCGACAGTGTTGCCCGATAAGTTCAAGGAGACACAGCGGTTTACCCCGAACTTGGCGCAATCGTCCTTTCGATCGCGGATTTACAGCAGAAGAACGTCGAGCATTGGGTCAGGCTTCCACGGGTCAGTTGGTCGCATGCTTCGTGGCGACAGCAATGTGATTGAACCCATTCGCATGCTGCACAACTGCATCCGTTACTTCGCGAGCCATCCGGAGGTGTATGGAGGTAACATCCGCGCTCTGTTGGACCGTGAACTGCTGTACGTCATGCGTGTGAAGGCTTCAGAGACGGCTCTGATGACGCCTGGCACGGTTCCTGTTGGTGACACCCCACTTCCCCCAATCTCGAATGCAAAGCGGCNAATCAGCAAACTGCAGCATCCTGCTCTCGACAAGTGTGGCGGCTGGATGGTCACGCCGCGTTCGATTGATGCTGCGCTCTCCACAGGAACCGTTGTGGGTGGCGAAGGGATGTTTGGCTTCGGTGGTGTAAACTTTGTGGAGGCTACACCCGGCTTCTTGTCCCTACTTGACAAGGCTAGTCGGTGCCTTGATCTAAATGAGGACCGTGTGTTGTCAGAAGAGGGTGATGAAGGGGAAGAAGAATCTCTCCGTGTCTTAAATGGAGCCGGATCGACTAGTGCGGAAAGGGGAGTATTAGTCGAAGACGGATCTCGTGCACGTGAGAGCACCAAGGTACATTTTCTCGCTGGGGATGAGCGCCAGGTGTCCAACCCGCTCAGTCCCATCGATAGTGGTCCGAAGCTCCTCGTTGATGGTGCAAGCTACGAAGTTTCTTTTCTGAGAAATCAACTACAGCAAGTGGAAGCAGCGTACAATGCAAAATGTATTCGACTTCATGAACTCCACCAAGAGAACAGTCGTCACATGTCGGAATTAAACACTGTAGAGAAAAAGTTGCAACAACAAACAACCAAAAACAATGAGATGCGGCAGCAGATAGATGCTTTGAGGCGTGAGTTGGATGCGTGGAAGCAGCGCGCGAGTGAAATCAACCTTAATGGCCACAGCAGTAGCTCACACGGCTCCGCAGACGTCTCTCGCCGCGCACAAGCCATGCAGTTCGGTGAAGCAAGGCGGGAGTTAGCGCATATGTCGCGTCTCTGGCGAGAAACGGAGAAATCACTCCAAGAAACCAAACGCGCCTTGGAAGGATCTGAGAAGGAGACACAACTCTCGCATCAATACCTCGAGGATGCATTTAACCTAATTGAGCGGCTTGAACGGCGTATCGAACGGCGTAACAGCTTTATTGAGACACAGAAGCGGTGCCATGTCTCGTTGGAAGAAAAATACGAGAAACTTATGTGGTGTCTGCAGGAACTTCAAACAATGAAGGGTGTGCACTCATATGTCGACTATCTCCTCTCGGAGGACCCTGTGTGGTCTCTGTTCCTATTTGTCCGTCTGCAGCGGCACCTCATAGGATTTGCGCAGCTTGAGGAACCTCTGCCGCTGCCGAGCGATGCGGGGCCACTTTACTTTCGTCGAACACCTTGCGGAGGAAAGCTGATGGATTCATTTAGCCCAGCACTCGTGCTTCGACTAATGGCAGAGCATGTTGCTGGAAGGCTGCCGAATGTAGTCACGGTGCGTCGTGCTGCGTTGGGCATCTGCGTGCCACGTTGGCGAGGTTTGCATGCCGTTGACTACATCGGCAGTGATGGCATGGTCTCAGAGAGCGGAGAAGGATCTCGGCGAAACATGCCTATTCTCACGCTGGCATCTGTGCTTCTACCACAGCAAAATGCTCCAGTTGTTGGTGATGTACAGGTTGAAGAAGAGGTGCCTAACACTGCACAGTACGACCAGGCGACCATGCGGCTATTGATGTACTGTTTCTGGGGTGAGCGTTTGATGCAGTACAAACGGGAAATGTCGCGGCGTGTGGAAGCATTAAGGAAGGTTCCTCTTCGAACGGAATCGAACATATCTGGTGAGACGACAGAGGGGGAAGGGAACTCTGTTGATATATTCGCTCATCCACCAACCTTCCTTGCGGCGTTAGTGGGGTTCGCGCAACGTCTCTTTCCATTGAGCACAAATGAAGAGGGAGCAGCAGCAGCTCAAGATGGGAAGGGCATGCGCAAGATGCTGTCGGTTCGGGGTGTAGTGTGGAGGAATGAAAAGTTGTGGACTAATGGGCGCTTGTTCTTCTCCTCTATCGTCAGTGTCACAGAAGATGGCACCGAGATCCCAGTTACGCTCTCGTCACAAGCACGCGAATTGCTCTATGCACTGTACTACTACGCTGAGGAATACAAGGAAGTGGATGCCGACTTTCGGCTGTTCCATCTAATTGCTCACCAGCAGATACCGGAGGTTGTGGCCATTAACTTTTATGCTAGCTTAGAGGCATTACACAAGAGCTGCGATGATGCACTCTGTCGCCATCTCGGTCCGAAGAATTCAGCCGAAAAGGATGTTTCTGCAGTAAGCCGAGGTGAGTCGCCGTCACCATCGATGTTCGCTGGGGTACCGCAAAACATAGTCGCCAGTGATACACCACTCAACGCACTGAGGAAGGCGGTGGAGTTAATTGATACGGCACCGTTGGCTGAAGAGAGCACCTGCATTGAGTCAGACAGCGACGGTGAAGGGTTTGGTCTCATTCTGCCAGGGAAGGGCAGAGCTGACAGCACACAGACGGCCCCCCGTAATGAAAAAAAAAATAAAACAAACTCCGATGCAAACAAGCTGAAACACGACATACGCGAGTATCTTTACCCTACAGAAGAAAACACCACAGTGGCGATTGATGATGGATTACCAGCAAAGAATGTGGAATCCACTAACAACGACGAAAAGAAAGAGATGCCTGCAGCGTGGGTTGCACTTGATGAAAGGCTCAGAGCTCAACTGGGGCCGCACGCCTCACTGCTAGGGGCATTCCAGGATTCAAGAAATGGGAATATGTCCAAGGCTCAAAGTCATAAACGACGACAGTTTTCTGAGAATTCAGCATCGCTTTCGGCTGCACGTGGTCTCCTCCCTGTTGATGAGTTCATCGCGTTGATTCACAAGCACTGCTTTGCTACATATGCCGTTTCTTGCTGCGGTGGGGCACGTTTCTCACTCTTTGATACTTTGGCGCAAAACACCCGCGGTGGTGGTGTTGCTTCTACGATCACTAGTCCTACTACTCATACTGCTGCTGGTTCTGTTGCTCCTCATAATGGTGAAGGTGTCGGCGAACTGCATCCGCTGGCGCCCATTGGTCAGATCCCTCTCACGGAGATGTATGTGCGTCGTCTCCGCTTTGCCGTTGCTATGGACCAACCTTCGACGTTGGTGCGGTATGCTGATCTCTTTGCCGTGGACCCGCGGTGCGGAACACCTTCACACTTTCACGATGAGTACCTTCGACTGACCTTGGACATATATCTTGAACAGCAAGAAGCTTGGATGAATGTTATTTTGGGCTCTGTCGCATCCCAGCATGAACATGATGAAAGTGGAGTTGTGGAGGAGCCTGATGGTAATGTCCCCTTCCCGGTTCTCCGAACGGGTATAGCAACTCAATTCCGGGAGCTTTTGTTGGGCGCCGAACAAAGCAACATCTTTGCCAAACATTTCCTCAATTACTGTGATCTCCTTCGACATGAAAACGACATACGTCTCGAACAGTTCACAGATGCTCCATTCTTCGTTAATACACCTTCCTTGACTGAACATGAGGTAGAGGCTGACTTTGCCTCTATGGAGGAACGACGGTGGCCTGTTGAGGATGAGGCCGCTTCATGTTCCCTACTGCATATCTCTTTGGCGGTACGTATGACGTACGTGGTGTGGGGATTCGAAGCCGCTCCGTCTGCACGTCTGGCAGTGGCCTCACTGCCGTTCTCCCGGCATCTGCTACGGGTGAATTCAGGGTCGTCCAGCGGACAGAGCACGCCCGGTCCCGTCAAGAGGAACCATCTTTTCGTGAACGAGGTGAAGCGTGATTATGTGGATGCGGTGCGCCGACTCAAGACGGGGATGGCGCAGCACAACGAACTGCGGAAACTTGCGGGGGAACTTGCGGGGGCAACACCTCATCCCTCAATGGACTGCACGCCATTGGGTCTACCGACATTTGTGAAGGACACTTCGCTTTTAGCTGCGGCAGCGGATGTCTCTCTCGACGTGCAGCGCCTATACGCTCCATGGGGAAGTGAAAACCGGCAGCGGCAGCTGCAGTCGCAGAGCAACACACCACGAGCAGGTCGCCGCTCCAGATCACATAAGCGCTCGACAATGGTGTCAGAGCCACTTCCTGACGCCCCAGTGGATAGTACGTGTCTGCTAGAGGTGATTTCGCTCATCCGTTTCATGAGCCTTAGTCGTACCATCAAGGCGAAGTCGGAAAAGAAAAAGAAGAGGGCGGATGCAACAAAAGGTGATCACGATATTCAGACGGCACTCCTTGCTACTTGCGCAGAGAACGAAGCTGTCTTCTTCTCTCACCAGACGCAATTAACGCAGTTGCTCGTAGAGGCTGCATGTGAGCCGGACCCTGCCACCCCCAGCGCGTCCGAAGCGGCTGCAACTGAAGCCCAGATGCAAAGCAATAGTGAGGGAGCGCCATCTTCGTGGTTGATGCAGGCGGCACCATCAGCAGCCGCTGAGACTGGTGCCGTTGGGGGCATCAGCAGCAGCGCAGACAATGCTGCGTCCCCAATAAGCAGCTCTGGGCAGGTGACGTTGCTGCCAAATTTGCTGCCGGGGGACGAGAATGGGAGCGAAAAGCTGTCGCAGCGGTCATTCAACGCCATGACCACTGGTCTCGAGGCGGTATCGGTGCGGAAAGTGCATGCTGGATGTGCAGCGCTCAGCTTGATGTAGTCAACAATGGAAGGAGAAAAACAAAAGAGCGATCGAGAGAGAGAGAGAGAGAGAGATGAAGCGTATAGAATACCGCACTTGCTGGTAGTGGTATTGTCGTATACACACACACTTACACCCTCCCTCCCTTTCTCTCTCTCTCTCTCTCTCTTGTTTACTGAATATATGTACATATTGTGGCTGGCACACATATATCCATATATGCATATATGTATGTACGTATATGTGGCTGCCGGTCCTTTCTCGTGGAGGCCGTTTGGTTCTGCTTTGTGCCTGCAATACTGTTTGCCGCAGGTCTCTGCTTTCACAGGCGACGTAGGATCGCTCGTCAAACCCGAACAAGGCGCCACCGCTGTGGCTGTTGGGTCCTTTCATTGATTCTGTCTGCTTCGTCATCCTCTTTTTCTTTCCTTCTTTCTTTCTTTTTCTTGGCAGTACTTCTTTTTTGTTGTTGTTGTTGTTCATTGGGTTACTGCTTTGCAGAAGCTAGGAAGAGTTAGTGTTATAGTTCCTCTTCATTTTCACTTTTTCTTGCCTCCAAGGGTGCGCCAAGTCGGAGAGAAGGAAAGAGAGCACGTCTCTTATCTCTTTTTGTTCCTCCTCGGTGCAGGGCTTGGTGCCTTGTTTTATTTTAGTTTTACCTTTTTTTTTCTTGCCTGTGTGGGTGAGTGGGTGTGTGTGGGCTGTTGTTGCTTTTGGCTGCAGGTGCAGTAGTAGTTGTTGTTTGTTATTGCCCGTCGCACTCCGCTGCCGTTGTGTGGGATGATGGGCTTTCGTATCGGTGCGGACGCGTGGGGGCAGTGGCGGCGGGACTTGGAGGCAAGCTGCAGAGCGGCACTCACGTCACCGTCATCGAATAAGGATGTAGCGGAAGAAGATTGCGTGCATGCTTCACTCGCGCGGTCGTGGCAAGTTGAGCTTCTGGCACGCCTGGACGAGCTGGAGAGTCAGTTTGAGCGTGACGTACAGCAGCAGCAGCAGCAGCAGCAGGGAGAAGCTGCGCACACACCCGAGACGTTGGTAGAATGTTCCATTGCGACGCCATCTCCGCCACCATCACCACCAAAGGCGGGGGCGGTAGCAGATGCAGAGGTGATACCCGTGGACGTGAGCCGTGGGACACAGAGTGGCCCAATACGTGAGAAACGGAGTCTGGGGACGCAGCTGTACGCAGTGCGTGGGATATTGCTCTCCCGTCATGTGCTGCAACGCGTTCGAGCGGAGCGTAGTTGCAAGGGACTCTCCGCAGTTATCGGTCAACTGGCGCAGACAATGTTTGTGATGTCCAATGACTTCATTGCCGCGCTGTGCGCTGTTGTAAAAATATCCGGCGAGCGCCACGGCGGCGCTTTGGTTGCTGTGCAGGATTTGATCCCGCACCTTCGCGCCACCACGGTGCGCATGATGCTAGCCGAGCTCGGCGTTCTTGGCAAGTGCGGCTGCAAGGAGGATCTGGGGAACGACGTGGACGGCATAAGCCAGCGGGTGGTGGAGACGCTCGCGGAGGCACTGCAGAAGGTGGGTGACTTCGACAGCGCACCGCCGTCGTCCTTGTACCCGTCGTCGTCCGGCGACACAGAAGAGGCACGGCGACTGTTCCCCTTTCTCTGTCGTCGTTGTCGCCAGGACGGGCGGGACACCTACCTTTACGACAAGCAGGCGAAGCGGCTGCAAGAGGTGACGCCATGGCAGACGACGCAGCGGCAACAACAACAGCAGCAACAACAATTGTCACAGCTGTCGCTGCAGATGCACCAAGCGCGGTCTCCTGGGCTGAGGCCGCACGACACAGCACACTTGGTGGCGCAGCATAGACTGCTGCAACGCCTGCTGCCAGCACCGCCGCCGCCGCCGCCGCCGCTGGGACACGCGCAGGCAACGAGCGTCTTGCCGCTGTCGTCTTGCTGCCTCGACGGTTGTCGCGTGTCCTGCGGGGTTGTCACTCGCTCCTTGTCGCGGCCGCCGCTGTCGCAACCACACAAAATAGTGCCGCCGTCTTCGTCGCCCCGCGCCGTGCAGCACGATGTGGTCACGGGCACACGCGGGTGGAAGCAGTGACTTCAGACCGGAGGGCGGGGAACAACGGGGGAGGAGAAAAAAAAAGAAGCACAAAAAAGAGTAGTGAAGAAAATGCCGGGCTTTGAGGTGATGGATGCACCCAGCGGACGCGTGTATACTTATGTTTGTCTCTCTCTCTCTCTCTCTC